CATATATATATATATATATATATCAGTCTGGCGAGTAAACTAAAAAAATTACTAGACAATTGCCAAGGTGTCCGTAGAGGGCTGACTCCTCTGAAGAACCCGAAAGGTAACAACAACAAATTAATGAATCTTCAAAGATCTATAAAGAAAACTCAAGAATCTTATCCTGTTGGGAAAAATAATAATAATACTGATGTCACAACAAGGCTTTTTCAACCAGCATCACCAAAAAAGTCAGCTAGATCAGCACTAAACCAAAATAAACTGGAAGATCTAGTCGTTTCAGCTTGATAAGAAAAGTATTTTTCGCTGAACCTGCAAAATTAAAACATCACCTCCATAAGAGCATATTGATCATTTCATAATAATGTGGCTCAGATGTTACTCACAGAACATAGATATTACACTCATGGATTCATTATGAAACCAGCATAACATAAGCAGAATCCACTATATATGATCTCTATGCTTGGCCATGTAATGCGTGTCCTAAAGTGCACTTTGGATCTCACTGAATCACATGGGAAAACATGGCTAGAGTTCTGAGCGATGCCTTCAGCATGTAAAGGGAAGCGCTGTTTCTCTAACAGAAAGAGTACACACATCTTCAGTGGTATCAATGTACCCCTGTAAAGGAATAGTTTACCCAAAAAAGAAAATACTGTCATCACTAACTCACCCTCATGCGACTTTCTTTCTATTGTGAAGCATAAAGGAAGATATTTGAGAAATGTCAATATAATGGAAGTTAATGAGCTCTAATGCTGTTTAGTTACCAATGTTCTTGAAAATAGTGTCTTTTGTGTTCCACAGAAGAAAAAATACATACGGTTTTATGGGGGTGAGTACATGATGACACAATTTTCATGTTTGGAGGACTATACCTTCATATAGTTATAGTGAACAATATGCTTTTGGTATGTGGAACAGAAAGCAAAAGAAAGCTGATGATATGTACTTCAGTCGATTCACCTTTTAAGGAAAGTCAGTCCACTCAGCCATTGATTGATTATCATTTTTTAGATTTATTATAAGAAATATGAAAAAATATATATATTTATCTTATTTATTCTATTGCTTATTTTGTGTCATACCTAAGAATATATTAATATATTAATGAAGTAAAACGATACACATGTACTCACAAAATACAGACTATTCCTCTATCAAAATTCTGTTTTTCTCTATTGTTTTATTTTATACATTTTTTATTATAAATTTATATAAATAAATGTATCTATTATTGTTTTTAATGGTATTTTTTTATTTCTTTTTTGAGCTACTGATAGAAAATACACAATACAAAAGCAGATGCTGACTAAGAAAACGTGCCATTATTTCCTTACACATATACAGCCAATTTCAGAAATTCACACACTAATAACAATAAGCTAGTTCTGCAGGTGAAGTGGTTTTATCCACTTTGCTTCGTGCCTAAAAACTCTCCTTGCCTGTGGAAACATCACTGTAATGGACAGCCTCTCATGGTTTATTGCTTTAGTGACCTGTGCAGAACAAATTGACATCTAAACAATCTCTAAATAATCTCTCTACAAATCGAATGGCGCATTATTCCTCTTAATTTCTGATGCTACTCACTATTCAACCAAGATTACAAGTCAAGGTTACAGTAACCCACGTAGCCAATTTTGGCCTGTAAATACCCTCATTAATTAAGAGTCCTTCCTGAGTCAATATTAGCTGGGTTTGAGACACATGGGAGCCAGAGCTGAGATGTGGAGCGGTGAGGGTCAACACAAGACTGTATTTTGATCAAATAAGAAAAGAAAGAGTGCTTCTAATTGGAGGCGGAGGCATGGAGAGATATGGACAAAATTGCTCCGGTCTTCTCCAGGGATGTTTGAACATCAAACCCACGTTCAAACAGCAAACAGGGAGGGAAATGTACAGAGACAAGTGTGCTATTTAATCCAGCCTGCTTATTAGAAAGAAAAGCACCAAGTATGCCAGCTCTATCGATTGCAACAAGAAAAACACAGCCATTAAGAATGACTTAACGAAAAGCTTGTTGGCTTTAACCATCATTTCAAGGAGCGCTGGATTATTCTCGTCTGAAGCACTCGTGTTTCCAGGCCTGTTATATGAACATCTCCATCATGGGAGGATATCAGCCCTAGACAGCAGATTTATTGCTCTTCTGTGACGCCAATAAACAGCAGAAATGTGAGCCAATTCCCCACAGGTTGAAGCCCGAGCTCTTCTACGGTCACATTCATTATGCATACAGTACATCATACGTCAAAAATAAATTTCCCTCCCCTTGAGCGCTCTAGAAAGCGCAATAACATTATCGCACCCGAGCGATATCGCAGTCAAACTGCACACTATCATGCATCTGCCCATCCAAGATAGACTCTCCGCATTTCCACCAGATGTTTTTCAATGAAATGAGTCAATGATCTGTAATTACTGTGACCTACAAGAGAGAGATATGTAGGTTAAGTTTGCCTGCCGCTCCGCTTCTTTGCATGCATGTCCCAGGGACATTTTCAAAGTATAAATCCCAGCAGCTCCTTTAATCTCCTTACGCTCTTACATCCGCTTTAAAAATTCACTAACACAGTGACAAATGCACGTTGACTCAGGACCACGCTTTGGCCAATAGAAGAGTCCAAACTGCACTTTTAGACTTTCAGTGAATAGATACAGGTTTGCAAATAAAGCTTTGATTTGAATGCATTGTACCAATAGTAATGATAGCATATGAACTTCTAGATTACATTCACAAGACATCTTTTTAATCCGAAAAATCACTGATCCAGATTAATGTACTAAAAATGATCAAATTGTTAATCAGGAATGTATTCATTATACTGAATTAAAAGAGTTTGTTTGTTTGTTCATTCATTTATTCGTTCATTCTTTCAATAGAATGATTTTCATTTTTTTATTACAGAAATTTTTTTTTTCTTGCATTACAATGAGAATTTTTTAAATCAGAAAATTCACTGATTCTGATTACTGTACTACAAAAAATTATATACTACTTAAATTATAAAACTGTTAATCATTAATGTACGATATTTGTTGTACTGAATTAATGCATATACATTTGCATTACAGTAATGAGAATTTGGAGATGAGGTGTTACTCTCATGAAAAAATATCACAATGTAAAAATATTATGGTCCTAAAATTAGGCTTAATTTTCTTATAATTAAAACAAAATATAATTGTTTAATATATAACAAACACTTATAATATTACATATCTATTACAATTTATAACAATTTGTCATATTTTAATTTGTCATTTTTTTCTCATTTGTAAGTCGCTTTGGATAAAAGTGTCTGCTAAATGACTAAATGTAAATGTATATTTTATAATGCGATATACATATCATTTTTTATACTATAGCAGATGCACAGAAGAGGTGACTGTGAAACACGGCCAAATTCGCAATCAAAAGTCAAATCACTTCCATTACTTTGTACCTCAGAGCTCCTTCCGTTATAGTGTCAGATTTCATTATAATAATGATACGGCTGTTATCTAGCAGAAGAAATCGAACAATCAGCCTGGGAAAATGGAGACAACCTACTGTGCTGAAACGGCGACATGTTTCTCAACCCTACAGACTTTGAGAATCAGAAATTAGGATGATGGGAAATAATTCAAACACTCTACGCAGAGCTGTTTTGAAGTGAGACCGAAGACCTTTAGTTGTCCTTTTTTTCTTACCCCAGATAATAAAACAATTGCAATGCAACTTTGTGCAAACAGCCAGTCTGGAACCTTCACATCCCACTCACATCCATCAAGGTACTTATGGAAATAGCCGTATACCTGTCTCCCAGAAGTACAGCGACTTCCCGTCTTCTGACGTTTGGGTGAAAGCGGTCCGGATTCCACAGATCAGTAAAAATAACCTCCATAAACACAGGAACGCTGTCCTTGCACCCCTAACCCCAAATCCCATGGCTCCCCTGAGTCGCGTAAAATCCACTCGGTCGGGAGGAAAAAAAAAACCAACGAGAGCAGAGAAAGAAGTTCAGTCGCACAGACTGAAAGAGTTTGTGTGCCTCTTCAGTTAGTGTTCCCCGAAGGAACGGTGCATGTAGCGGACCTCCTGGGCTTCTGCTCCTCTGGTTGGCTGGAGAGGAAAGGAGAACGTTCTGGCTGAACAATAGAGAACGGCAGCCACTGCTGCTACTGCTGCCGCTGTCCTCTGCCTACTGCAGCTGACTGACGCTGCATCTCCCCTCCCTCTGCCTCTCTCTATCTCTCTAGCTTAGGGCACAAGGACGCTCCTTCGCCATGCTCCTGTGACGCTAAAGACGACATGATAAGAGGGGAGTGCTGTCGCTAAGGGAGGGAGGGAGAAAGAGGGAGATTTATGAACTGCATATTCCACATTTTCTGTGTCTGCGTGCTGAGAGTCTGGAGTTGCATGAAGCTAGATGGGTAAATGAAAGAAATGATAAATACGGTATTAATGAAAGATTCGATTCAATTTTTCGATTCTTCAATTTGGAAGAAAACAACGCAAGTGAAAGTGTCAAGTCGCACTGTCTAAAAGCACGAAATCAAAATCCACCCCATTTACAATTGTAATACATGTTCCTTAGTGTTTTGTGCACAATGTGCATGCTACTTGGAAGAAATAAAAAGTTTGCTTTTAATATATCTTCAAAATGCAGTATGTGCTCTCTCTCTCGCTCTTCTTAAAAAGAAAATTCCCTGATTCTGATTAATGTATTACAAAAACAACTATATGGGTCAAGCAGGGTTTAAGCATAAAAACAATAAGTGTAATACTGCTTTAAATTGTTGTTGTTTTTCCCCAAAAAATTTAAAAAGTTTTCTGTTTAATTTAATTGCAATTTTGTTTTTGTTTTTCCGAGCAAAAAATAAATATCATACATTTTTCCCTGATTTACAGAAGACACCCACTAAAATGTCATTCAATTTAACATTCTTGTCAGGCATATTTACAACAAAAATCAATTTATTACATATTAAAAGACATATTAATTACTTTCACCTCAAATACTAATTAGTTGTAATTTTACATTTTTTACATTTGCCACTATCCTAGGTTTTGCCCATTTGTCAGTAAGAATTTTTACTAATTTAAAACACA